AGCAGCACGCAATCCTGAGTTGGGATTCATCATCATGCTTAATAATTTATGATATTTGTGATTTTGAGAGCCACCGGGTCGATTCTCAGGTGGTTTTAAAAATACTTTCGTAAAGACAGGTCTAGTGCTTTAGCAATAGCGTTAAAATTTGCAACTTAAAGCATCAAGGACGTTAAAAGGAGCCTATGGAGCGCAGAATTAGGCTCATCGAAATACCAATGCCTTTCCTTCATTTACCGTTAGCAGGTACAAGAAGTGCTTAAGAGAAATTTTCGCAATATCAAAGTGGCAGCAAAGCAGACTTCCGATTCGATTTCGCAAGCATTAAAGCCACCATCCCTGTGAAAGCTAATTTCTTCCCCTCGGTTGTTTTCGTGCAATACACCAAGGTCTCATCCCCTCTCACAGTGCCGCCCAGTTCCTAGCTTAAACATCCTAGACATCTGCTCGCTAAATGCAATCACTTCGCAGTGGTTTCGTTACCCATTACCTGTTTCGATAAGGTCTTGTCCAGCCGCCTAGCAATGTTTACTGAATATTTCACTTCACTGTATAGTGTTTTATTCGGCCCACGTAGGTGGTATATTTGAAAACTCTCAGAAATTTCAGAACTCATCGATACGGTAATTTAACGGAAAGTCGACGGCACTGACAAGGTTCCCAAACCGTCAGTTCGCATTAGCTAAGCCTCTAGTTTTATTAAACTTTCATTCATTCCATCGCTTTAAAGTTGCTACAATTTTCACGCTAGAGTTGCATGAGTTAAGTTGCAGTCATGAGACGGTTGGAGTGTTCTAGCCAAATGGGGAAGTTAAGCAGTTCAAGCTTTTATGTTTGTTTGAGTACGAAGCTCATTGGTCTCGGGTATAGAGCGTAATATTAATAAAGAAAGAGACTGAAGAAAATAACATCACAATTTGTTGTTACAAAAAAATTAAATTTCTCAAACGACTTTCATCAAAGCACTGCAGCGATTTTTCCGTACTAAACGTTGCAAAGAGCTTCCACCTAAAAGTACTCGCGATTCCAATAAAGTACCTTTACTAGGAGAATGTAGGTTACTGCATCAGAAGCTAATTGACATCGTACTTGGAGGTATCCCAAAACGCACATCCTCTCTACGTCCTGCAAGTTTTCTTTAACTTTTAAGCCCTTGTGTAAACTATGAATCGTCTGCGAGACTGGTTGAGGCTAGCACTCCTCACAGCAACATTGAAGTACTATGCAATGCCTAAAGAAACCAATCTCAATTAGAATAAAACATACACGCAATTTGCATTTTGATCAAACTGACTAAGAGGTGTTGCAAGTGGAAACGAGTTGCGTTTTCTCATCAACCATACATCATTTACTGGGATAGGGGTTTCTGCATTAATAACACGAAGAGAACCACCATAATTAAATAGCTAAGGGGTGAGTCGCAGACATGGCTACCGTTGATACTGAGAGGATTCGTTTTCCAGACACGCCTTAAATACTTGGTTACCTTGTCTAATTGTTCACAATTGATGGATCTTTAAATCATCGTTAAACCATGCGAATTGCGATGTGGTGAAGATGTTCGTGGTCTCAGAGGTCTCTGCTGTACTAACTGCTGCGCTAACTGAGCGGTCCTTCGTATCAACATCCCAATTAGTCATATTGACTCCAATTTTACTACTTTAAGCTAAGCATAAATGGCATGAGTTGTAATGCTTTGTTTATGTGACTACCTGACGTTTGGCGGTCACTTTGAGATTTGTCTGGCCCTTGTAAATGTGGGCTGGCCTTCGGGTCATGCCCAGGTCCATTTGCTCTGCCCTCTTTGGAGTACATGCATCCAACTTCACTTGCTGCCTTCTACCATCATATAAAAAGCCTTAAGACACTGCGTAAGTGATTCCAAAAACTTTGAAGGAATAAGTTTTTTAATGCTCTATTTACAATTTCAGCATTGAAGACATCAATAGGTCACTTTGGTATGTCACCCTTCCTGCAAAATAAATTTAAGTAAAGCCAAAAGTGTCTGCGTACACGTCCTTAAAATTATGTTTAGTTCACTTAAATTAACGTTCAAACATTTACATTAACCTTTGTTTGTTCCTCCTCTTATTGTGCCCGCGCTTTCTCGAGGCGTCTCCTGCTGTGCCCGTGACCTTGGGTGATGTCGTTTGCTAAATTAGATGATGCTATTATTGAGATGCAAAAACAACTATATAGGGAGGAGTACATAAAAGAATTGCGTATGAAATCGGGAGGAAAATTCTACCCGTTCAGCATTGAACCAATGCCAACCGAACGGGATCGCCTAATCAAACCAATGACGGATTCTGAAAGGGCTCTTCGTAAACAGTGGCTTGAAGATCAAAAACTTTCTCCACGTGAACCGGTAGATATACCCGAATTCACTCGAAAAAATATTTTTCGGCGAGCTTACTGCAAATTCTTTGATGGCTTGGCTGGCATCTTCAGACCTATTCTGGTATGGAAATTGTGCCTATTGCCACTTTATAGGGACAAAAATACACTCCTATCCTTCGAAGAGGTCTGCCGTTGGCTCTCATTTCCTACCTTGCTGTCTGTACCCTTTGGTATCAAGCAAAGTATTCACCGAGGGTATGCATCGCGTTCCCTACATTGCTTTTCATGTAGACCTGGGAAACTGGTTTCAAGGGATTACGAATTGAAAGGCTTGGGCGCTTAGCCATCCACCCAGTAGGCTTCCTCATTTACATATTTTATTTGTCTAGGGTCAGCCCGGCTTCCCTAATTCGCCGGCATTGGAACACCACTTTGCTGATGAGGACTTCAGTAAAAGGAAAATTTTCCTCGGTGACAAGTTGGTCACAAGCGGCCGTTGAATATATTTAAAGGTTGTAGATTTGGATTTTCTGGCCCATCCGACTGTCTAGATAATAGAGTCGATTAACTCATCTGTTGTGCTTCTCTCGGCTATCGAGACCATAGTTCATATTCGGCAAGCTCATGAGCTATTTATATTCCACAATCATTTTCGTCTGTGCATGCCGTGTGCCAACGCGGGATTAGTGTGCATTAGATTTCTCGGTGGGGCTTGCTTTTGCTTCACATTGAACTTCGATGACTTTACAATTGCAGGGTCGGTGTTTTTTAGTGTAGCTAGGTGTGAAATTCGGCTCCGGTGGTATTTAGCACCATCCGGTAAATTGGAATCGGTTCAAGAATGCAAATGTTGATCTTTGTCGATCTACATCTGGCTGTTACCGGTTCATGCTTATCTTTCACTACTGACTCGCAGCTCTTCCTTTGACTTGTGTTCATCTGATGTTCGCCATTCGCGGTTGACCATCACATTTGATCTGTGAGCAGGAAATGTAAATTTGCCATGAGGGAGCTGATAAATGAAATTTGAATGATTACAAAAACCCTGATCAAGTAGGATTTCGGCACTTCTCCAGGCTTCCTGAGTCGCTATACTTGGAACATAGTATACATTATTTAATCTTTTAGTGTGGTTCTTTTATTCTTGTGGTCTTTTTTCTGTTCGCCTCAAGGCATCTTGTTCGACATGGAGACCGCAGGTGGAGGGGCTGAAAAATCTTTACAACATAGGTTGTGTTTGGCCTCAGG